GGCAGAGGCAGGAGACTTGCTTGAGCCCAGGAGTTGGAGGTTGCTGAGAGTTGTGATGCCAGGGCACTCTACCCAGGGGTACAGTTTGAGGCTCTGAGGAAAGAAAGGAAAGAAAGGAAGAAAGAAAGAAAGAAAGAAAAGAAAGAAGGAAAGAAAGATTTTTTTGTGTGGAGTAAGGATTTGAGGGACAAAAATAAACAGCATTTAGCATGAAACTGATGAGATAATGATAAAAATCATTTTACAAGTCTTAGGTTTGGCTTTTTGTTCATTTTCAGTTATTTATTTATTTTTGTACTTCTTAAAATCACAACTTTAGGGTGGGCTCAGTGGTGCAGGCCGGCAGTCCCAGCCTCTGAGAGGCCGAGGGGGTCGGGTTCCTTGAGCGCGGGGTCTGAGGTTGCAGTGAGCTGGACCCACACCACATGGGGGGCCCTGAGCTGAGGTCTCGCACACAGCGTCAGCGCCCCTAGGACGCGCTGCATCTCCGGAGTAAATCGCTTCAAGGGGACCCTAAAGGCGCTGAAGTTCTGACAGGATGGAAGCTTCTCCGGCCACCTCGGCCACAGCTGCGGGACCTCCCACCAGGAACGCCCGGCCGGCCAGAGAGGCCAGTCCCCGGCTTGCGCCCCAGCCCGCCGCCTCCCGCGTCGATGGCATCTCCGGTCCCCTGAGGCTGTGGGGCTGCGCGCGACCCTGTCCCAGCCTCTCTGAGATTGTGGGGCAGCGTCTGGAGCCAGGGCAGCGGGGCAGCGAGGCCGTTCCCCCCACTGGGACCAGCCTGCCAGGCGCCCACTCGGAGGCCCCTGCCCTGGACAAACCCGCTGTTCTCGCCGCCAGGCTGCAGATGCCAGACCCAGGCTTTCTCACCCAAAGCGCCGAGTGTCTGTAGCCCGTCGGCTTTGAGAATAAAATGAGGGAAAATTTCCCACGCCCCTTTCTAGGGTATTTCACCGACTCCTGTTCCAGCCACCCCTTGTACGAGCCTGCGGAGCTGGAGGAGAAGGACGCGGTCGGGGTGCGCAGGGCGGCCCGCAGGCGGCTGCTGGCGGAGCTGGGCATTCCCCCGGAGCAGGTGCGGAGGCGGGCGGGGGTGCGGGATGCGGAG